AGTTCACAGGTCTGTACTGTGTGGGATCATCACATCTTTCACTTCTCTACCACTCTGAATAGAGGAATTATACCAGTTTCAATGCATTCAAAGCCTTCTGCTGACCTTATTTCCTTGTTTGAGCTACAGGATTTCGATTTAAGTACAAGCTTTAAATCACCAATAATTAAAATTACAATCTCTTGGAAAAACTAACTTCTTTAAAGAGATTAACACAAGTGATAACTGAATTTTTAAAACAGCATATTAGTGCCATTCAGATTGTCTGTTTATCACATTCATTTAATTAAACAGAACAATATATAAATGTGAAAATCACAGCAGACATTGATAGATATAAAAATTGAAATATTTTAAATAAAAAACAGGAAGTCATGAAACAATACTTTGATAGCATGCTAAATCCCCAGCCGGCTATTCAATAAAACCACTATTTACAGTAACTTGTGAACAGCCCTGACCAGTATGGAACAATGTGTTCCCTTTTCTAATGTTTAATTTTCATATAAAAAGTGTTCTCCTGACTGACAGAAGATAAGGAAAAGTAGAATTTCCCCTGAAGTTCTTTAAAAGGAAAAAAACCTTTCTAAATATATTCCTAGGTCCCAAACTGTCAGTAAGAAATGATTCCATATCCTGTCATAAATTACATATCAGCGACTAAGCTGAGATAAAGACTTTGAAGCTATTCCTTTCTATCATTATTATTAGATTACATTCTAGTTATAAACTGAGATGTACTATAAAGAGCCAACTAACATCAAATTTGCCTATGTCTAGAAAAGAGTTGGGAAGCTATTTTAGCTTCAGTTCAGTACTACCCATATTTTCTGACAATATGAGCCAGATCACTTCAACAATGAGTTTGTGTTGGTCTATAGATTTAACCTGGATCAATTTTTAAAAGCTCAAGCTGTGTTAAGTGTAAAGTTATTTTAAAATCTGTAACACTTTAGGAGCTAGATAACTGACATCTTGTCCAGGGAAAGCAGTAATGTCTCTTTTGGTTTTAGTCAATTTATTGGATTCCCTCATTTATTCACAGATCAGCTGTGGATAGCTGCTGTGCCACCTTCTCTACTCTTGCCTACGAAGGTGTCTCCTCTGTGACTTGGAGAGTCTGCCTTTAGGATTAAAAGGGTAGTTTAGCCTTTATTTCCTTACACTGTATGGCTGGTTCTGAACTGATACCTTATCTGTAACATATAATATCCCATTCGCAATCCTCAGTAATTAATTCAAATTAGCATGGCAAAATTAAAAAAATCTAGGACAAATTCTGATAATGCATTTGTCTTCCAAAATATGGAAAATGTCCCTGGGCATCCTAGAATTATAAACTTTAAGGTCAGAAGGGACCATTTATGATTGTCTAGTCTGACTGCCTGCACAAAGCAAGCCACAGTATCTCACCCACCCACTCCTGTAACAAACCCCTAACCTATGTCTGAGTTATTGAAGTCCTTAAATTGTGGTTTAAAGACTTCAAGGTGCAGAGAATCCTCCAGCAAGTGACCCGTGCCCCACGCTGCAGAGGAAGGTGAAACACCCCCAGGGCCTCTGCCAATCTGCCCTGAAGGAAAATTCCCTCCCGACCCCAAATATGGCGATCAGCTAAACCCTGATCATGTGGGCAAGACTCACCAGCCAGACACCCAGGAAAGAATTCTCTGTAGTAACTCAGATTCCACCCCATCTAACATCCCATCACAGGCCATTGGGCATATATACCACCAATAGTCAAAGATCAATTAATTGCCAAAATTAGGCTATCCCATCATACCATCTCCTCCATAAACTTATCAAGTTTAGTCTTGAAGCCAGATATGTCTTTTGCCCCCACTGCTCTCCTTGGAAGGCTGTTCCACAACTTCACTCCTCTGATGGTTATAAACCTTCATCTAATTTCAAGTCTAAACTTCCTGGTGGCCAGTTTATATCCATTTGTTCTTGTGTCCACTTTGGTACTGAGCTTAAATAATTCCTCTCCCTCCCTAGTATTTATCTCTCTGATATATTTATAGAGAGCAATCATATCTCCCCTCAGCCTTCTTCTGGTTAGGCTAAACAAGCCAAGCTCTTTGAGTTTCCTTTCATAAGACAGGTTTTCCATTCCTCGGATCATCCTAGTAGCCCTTCTCCATACATGTTCCAGTTTGAATTCATCCTTCTTAAACATGGGAGACCAGAACTGCACACAATATTCCAGATGAGGTCTCACCAGTGCCTTGTATAACAGTCCTCTAATAATGTAAACAGTACTAAATGGAATACAGCATGCAATGAGGGCAAAAAAATATTTTCTAGGGGGGGGGGGGAATGTTCATTTTGGCATTTTATACTAAGTCTGTGGACAGAAACAGTCTGAATTTTTCTTTCTTGATGGGTCATTTCTCTTTTGTTCAGCAGGATCACCCATTGAATATTGTGTGTTCAATACTGGATTCAGATTTTACCATGTTCCAAATAAACAAACACAAACAACAAACCCTATACTTACATTTCTCCAAACTTTGTTTATACTTCTTCCCCAAAGACGCTAACCTCATAGCATATGAAACATTTTATATGGAATATTAGCTGGAGCATTCTATTGTAAGACAAGTTAAACCCTGTAGAGCTCTTAATACATCCAGGACCATTTTCTAAATTCATAAATCTCTGTACTTATTTTTGGTGAGTACACAAATAATAATTTGGTGAGTACCCAAATAAGTACCCAAATAATGACCAATGGATCTAAAAAAGAGTGAGAATTAAAACTACTGAGTGTTGTGTCCTATTTGACAAAGGAAGTATCACAAGGAAGGCTTCAGCAGTCAGGCCCATAGAACAGGGATGATTGCTGTTTGTGACTCAACATCTGGGAAGATGATGATTTTCCACAATAAGAATATAGAACTAAGCATGTGTTACTTGTTTGTATGATAATGGAAGGATGCCAACAATACTTTTACATATGATTAATATTTTACATAATGTCATGATTAGTGATGGAGAAAATCTGTAAGTCTAAGTTTTGGCTAAGAACCAGAACATCAGAATACTTATCTGAAATTTATCCTAACAGTTTGGTCTGGAAATCGTGTGAGATCAGGATTTTTCAGTAATTCTTAATTTCACCCAAGTTCAAAGTGCCATGATAAAAAAGTGTTGTTCACAGTATTTCAGTAATTCCACATTAGTTACTGCTGAAATCAGTGACCACCAAGATGTGAAAATTTAAAAAAACAAAAAAGCAATAAACGCACACCACAGTTTTTCAAATCTCAGAAAAGATCTAAGTTTGCTCTAGCTCCTAATTTCTCTGAACTAGTTCTATCATCCCATTATGAGCCTGATTCTGCTCTCATACCAGGTTTACACTGGTGTAACTACCTTGACTTCAGTGAAGTTATTCCAGATATTTTCTGCTGTCAGAGCAAAAAATCAGGTCCTATGACATCTAACTGACTTTAAGAAAATGTTCCAGTGAGTGGATAATTGTTATCAAGTGTACCATAGGATATTTCTGTGTTAAGGATTTATAATGTGTTGGTGAACTAATTTCTGTTAATGGCCCCCAATCATAGATGTGCAAAGTCCTTCCCAAAATTCTGACTGATTTCAGAAGATAATCATTGGTGACAGTATTGGCTCCATGTACCATGTGCCACACTACTGAACAAACCTGTATCTCTTTTTATTTTGCTGAAAAGGGTCATATCTAAGTTATTCTTGAAGTACATGTATGAATGAATTTTTTTGATAAAACGGTCTTTCCCAATGTTTATATGTGGAGTCAAATAATTCTCATCTCATTCATGCAAATAGCCATATTTACGTCAATGGGACTAGGTATGTGAAGAAAAGGGTTTGGCCTTAGATTAATAGATTATAAAGTCAAAAGAGACTGTTATCTTCTAGTCTGATCATGTGTATAACACAGGCGATAGGACTTCCCTGAAATAATTCTGTTTGAACTAGAGCACACTTTTTTCAAAATCCAATCTTGATTTTAAGATGTCCAGTGATGGAAAATCCACCACAAACCCTGGCAAATTGTTCCAGTGGTTAATTATCCGCACCATTAAAAATGTGCACATTATTTTTAGTATGAATTTGTCTAGCTCAACTTCCAGCTACTGGATCTTGTTATACCTTTGTCTTTTAAATTGAAAAGCCCATCATCAAAGTTTTGTTCCCCATGTATATATTTGATTTGTCTATAAAGTCACCCCTTAACCTTCTCTTGGTTAAGCTAAACCAATTGAGTTCCTGGAGTCTGTCACTAGAAGGCATGTTTTCCTATCCTTTAATCATTCCTGTGACTCTTCTCTGAATCCTCACTGATTTATCAACATCCTTCTTGAATTGTGGCCACAAGAACTGGCACAATATTGTATTAGCAGTCACACCAGAGCCAAATAAAAAGATAATATAATCTCTCTAGTCCTACTTGATATTCCCCTGTTCATACTTACAAGGAATGCAAGTCTTTTTCAGAGTTCCTGCTTCCCAGGATATAGGTTGGGAGACTAAGTATACTATGCATTCTTTGTTCCTAGATGTATACATTTACATGTGGCCATATTAAAATGCCTTATTTTTGGTGTTTTGCCATTGACTTCAATGGAGCCAGGATTTCCCCCTTGATGTTTACATGCTATTGTGCTTGCACCTAAAGACCTACCATACACCAGTATGTGACCATCTTTTAATCAAGATCATAATATATACCATCATACGGCTTACATAAACTTTTTCATGAAGCAAAACCTTCATGAACATAAGTGGTCACATTTTCACATGATAATAGTAGGAGACACGAGTGGTATCAGGATTTTACTTTTGTGAATCCATTGGCTGCAATGTAGTTTTGATATGGAGTTCAATGGGACCAAGACAGGGTGCTTAATGATGAAAGAACACCACCTCAGCAGCCATAAACTTTGAATATTTAAAATCCTTGTTCAGCAAAACACTTCTAGGGTATGATGATTAAATTATGCAAAGTATACCTGTTATCACTCAGATTTAACACTCTCAACTTCTGCATCTGACCAATCTCATCAGGAAGAAATTCTAGCTTGTTAGAGCGCAGGGACATAACTGTTACGTTCTTACAGCTTCCAATCTATGGGCATAAAAGACAAGAAGTTAGGATTCTCGCTTTGCCAAAGTTTCTCACCACTAATTCTCCTTATCTGAGAAGGTGGCCTAATTATGTCTTTAAAATTAATGAACGAGACAATGACTACTTATTGTGTACTTCTGAGATAATACTTTGAGCCCAAATGACTTCAGTGGGAGTAGAATCAGGTCCTTTACTTGGCTTTTAAAGTTATAATTTAACCTATTTGCTATCAATAGCTTCCTGCTATATTAAGATGTATGTATACACATCACATTTCTTCACATAGTTTGATTAAAATGCTTTCTATTATCACAATGTGTTCATTAATGAAATACTCATTTCCAATTCTAGTCTCCCTATTTTACATTGATATTGACATTAACAGTCAAGGGCATAAGCCCTCGGTTTACAATGTAAAATGACAAACAAAATGTAAGAGAGACAAGGTGGGTAAGATAACATCTTTTATCGGACCAACTTCTGTTGAGAGACAAGGTTTTGAGCTTACACAGAACTCTTTTTCAGTTAATATGGAGGTGAGCTGAAGCAGAACTCTGTGTAAACTCAAAAGCTTGTCTCTCTCACCCCCAGAAGTTGGTCTAATAAAAGATGTTCACTCACCCACCTTGTCTCTCTAATATCCTGGAACCAACCCAGCTACAACAACACTACATACAAGCATTAGTAACACATGAGAAAAACAAACAGGGTCAAATCCTGCTTGTCTTGCTCATGTGAGTGATATTACCTGTTCCAATGGAACAAGTGATTAAGGCAAATAGGACTTGGCCTTCCATCTGGATCATTTATGACCCCATTCTGCTGAGAGAAAACTTCCATACACCTGCCATAACTTCAGTGGGTGTTTTGTCTGAGTAAAGACTGTAAGGTTAGGCCCTTCATGTAAAACATACTAATTAATAATTTAAAAACAGAATCAGTTTCTCACTTCTCTAGGCAATTCAGACAGGAAGTTCTCATCCACAGCTAATGTTCGCAGGCTATGAAGGTAACCAATGGTAGAAGGTAGGGACTCCAGTTCATTACAGCTGCAGTCAAATTCTTCTAATAGAGATAAACTGAAATTTTAAACACGTTGTTAGACTTTTTGAAAAAGTAAGACAACACAAATGAACAGTTTCAAATCTCTGCAAGTTTATAGTGTCAGATTACTACATTTGCAAATCATATACTGAAAAAGTAACATTAATTATTCAGATTCTCACAGAACAAAAGGTTGAAAATATAAATAACCATATACACCTAAGTATAGTTAAGTATTGGTAATACTGAGGTAATCCTATCTATTTATCTAAGGCAAAACTAGGTAGGTATTTTTAAGGGATACCATTCTGTCCTATATATTATTATTGTTATTTATTATTTGTCGTGTAGAAATGCCTAGACTAGAGGCATCTGTCAAGGATCACGGACCCAGTGTGCTAGGCACTGGACATATGCACAAAAAAAGATGATAGGCGGAAAAAAACTGTTTGTTGAGAAGGAAGTACCTTTATACTCTACTGAAAAAAGTTTCAGCTGATGTCACTGACACAAACTCTGATACAAAAAGCTGGTTAGTGGAGAGAGCCAAACACTGATCCAGATTCAACAAAGCCTGTTATAATTAGCCATTAAAGCAGAAGATGTATTCTTTGTAAGTATGCTTATCTTTCAAATTTTGACAGATTATCTTCTGAGATTGTTTTGAAACACAATATGGAATAGCCAATTGTATAGCAAAAATTAATACAAAAGCAAACAGAAATAAGTCATTTTAAGAGTATTTGGCTATTGAACTTAAAGTACTTCAAGGTTTTCATGCCAAGTCTTTAATACAAAACTGTACTAAATACTAACATGCTCCCTTTATGAAAACGTAAATTATCTCAATATCTGCCCTGTATCATTGTTGTGCTGCACCTCTAAAAGCACATAGCAATGTAAAAGGCTGTAGTTGAGATGAGAATCCCCACTTGCATGCTTCAGAGGTGCCTCACCCATGTCAATCTAGCTATGATTGTAGTGTAAGAGATTTAAGGTTTAAAATATAAATAAGAGAAAAGTGAGATCTAAGAATGTGACCTTCACTCAGGTGAACAGTGCTCACACTCATGGGTACAATCATAAAACTAAAGTCAATGACAGTTATAAGTGAGCAACGGTTGCAGATCTGGACCTTTCAATATTTCTTTAAAATTATTTTTACCCAACTAAATTATTTAAAAAACTCTTCCAGCCTTCAGACTCTGAGAAATGTAATGCCTGCAGCAGCTAATCTACACCCAGGGCCCAACTGGTTTTCAGCACTTTCCTGTAATTACCTGACCTCAATAGGTTGAAGGACTGAAGCACATCACCCTTCCATGAGCCATACGGTGATTAATGAAGTGAATTGTGAGGAGAACAGCTGAAAGCTTTGCCAGCTATTTTGTTACAAGTTTTGTATCTGTCAACCTGTCCTTCAAACCAGACAAAGAGCAATATTTTGCAAAGGTAATACTCAAACATGTTGGCCTAGTTCATTCAAGGTCTTTCCTTGCAGGAATAGGCATAGACCTGATAGAGGACCCTTATAGTAGAAAGTATAGTGGAAAGGATGCCATCTTGGAAGCTGCCCACAACCAGCTAGGGTCTGCCAGGTGATGTGCTGATTTAGCACAACTCCCCTGTCCCTACTTAGACCTAGAAATTGGGAATATTACAAACACTATCCTGCAAACAGTAAATTTCAAGAGCCACACAAGGGGTGCCACTGAAACCTTAATAAGCAATGTAATTTTAGTTAAAAGGTACCATCTGACATACACATTTTCAACCTCTTTCCCTCTTGTTAACAATCAGGAATGAAGTTTATGATAACAGAGGGAACACAGTCAAAGTGATACTTGACAACAGGGTAAAACAGATGTGTAATTCAGAAGTCTAATTTTCATTGTTCAGAGTTTGGCCACAGCAGCTTATCATACGAATTTAGTTAGGGTTCCAATAACCTCATCACTCACTGAGGCTCCACTCATATTCTCCCTGGGTGTGTAGAGTATGAAGGCAATGGACCTTTATGGGTCTGCTGTGTCCCCTGGAAGCCATGGGGCTATGCCCAACACATACTCTACTTGAGAGAAAAGTAACCCACACCTTAAGAAGTCCTCAGTTTCATTATGTCATTTTAACCACATATTTGATCAATCATCCCAAAGTTGGGGAAGGATGGACTGGATAACAAAATATCACCTGATAATTTACTAGATGCTGGAAGAAGCCTGTAACTTAAAGAAGCCCTCTCACACCATGATTTAGTTATTACTTTTCTGCATTGTTTCCCCCTCTTTCACTTGTTGCAGTTTTTCCTACTTTACTTTGACTGTGTAGATCCACCAGAAGGATAGCTACAGATGAGATAAATGAAGGGAAATTAATGCTTTCCAATCTTTCCAACAGATGCATTTTTCCTCAAGTATTTTCTTGACTTCACCTATCATTTTTTAAAAAATATATATTGTTTAAAGCACCAAAGTGAAGGGTTAATGTTTAGCTATTCCACCTGGAAGCAGGTGGGGCACACCCTGACTGTTTCGTAGAAGCAATGCACACATTGCTCTATCCAAGGACAAGGGCTAGATATGAACTATGAGAACTTGATTGTTTGGACAGCAACTGTGGGAGGCTTTCTTAGCCTGGGCTCAAGGCCTGAGAACCAGGATTGTAGTAGATAGAGGATGGTAACTAAGTATATGAATTAACGTCATACATTCCTTTGTGTAGCAGTGTGTAATGCTTAGGGGGAGAAATATAATAAAAGGAGAAGGTGGAAGGCGGGGGGGCAGAACGGCCCATCTCAGCTGACCAGCCTGTTTGCTTGCATAAAGCTGTGTTCTGTCTCATCACTGAACCGCCACAACTGGCGCCCAAACGTGGGGCCCTCAGCACTCACCTCGCCCGGCAAGGGTTTCAGACGCGTCACTCATCCGCTTCGTGGATCCCGGTGAGTATTTTTCATTGTGGTAAGTATGGGAAGCTCCCTCTCTGCTTTGCAAGTGCAACACCGCAATGAGCTGCAGTATTTGCTGCGTAAGGCTCAGCATGACTGCCCGGCTCGAGCACTTACTCTCCTGCTACAGGAGGTGCGTGCCAAGTGCCCGTGGTATCCTGAAGCCGGAAGCCTTAAGCTAGTGGACTGGGAGCGATTGGGCCAGACATTGCACGAAGAGCCTCGGGCGCCTGTGCAGGCTTTACATGCCTGGCACCTCTGCCGCGATGTGGTACAGCGTGTCGCCTCCGACAGGCCCTCCCTCGCGAGGCTGGTGATCTCACCACGCCCGTCCGCTCCTGCAGCCATCCCCCCTCCTGGCGATGCGACACAGCGTGTCGCCTTGGAAAGGCCCTCTCCAGCACCAACAGAGGGGCTGCCGATCCCGCCGCCCCCGTCTGCTCCTGCAGCCATCCCCCATCCTGGCGATGCGACACAGCGTGTCGCCTCGGAAAGGCCCTCTCCAGCACCAACAGAGGGGCTGCCGATCCCGCCGCCCCCGTCCGCTCCTGCAGCCATCCCCCCTCCTGGCGATGCGACACAGCGTGTCGCCTTGGAAAGGCCCTCTCCAGCATCAACAGAGGGGCTGCCGATCCCGCCACCCCCGTTCGCTCCTGCAGCCATCCCTCCCCCTGCTTCGCCCCCAGTGCCTCTATTACCACCTCCCTGGCCTTCCCCACCGGAGTCCCCTATCAGGTGCCACTGCCTCCCTGGCCTTCCCCACCGGAGCCGGTGTGTGATCACCCTCCCCCCATGGGGCCCCCCGGAGGGTCATCTGCATCTGCTCAGAAGCTTTCGCTGGTGCAACAAATGGTTCACGCAGTGAAAGCTCGATCAGATCTTACAGCGGAGGAGCTGGCTGATCTGGTCTCCGTTTGCCCGGTGACCTGGCAGAATGATGACCAGGGCAACCCCGTGGGCACCTGGACCACTTTGCCATACTCGGTGGTTAGAGAAGTAAAGAAAGCAATTCGTGAATTTGGCCTGACTAGCACCTTTGTGCATGGTCTCATTGAAGGGATGGGTACTGGGTACTCCCTAATCCCTGAGGATTGGAAAACGCTGCTGCGCATGATGTTGTCACCCAGTCAGTATGTTATTTGGCTTAGTGAGTATCGGCAGATGGCAGAACGCCAAGCTCAGGTACATAGAGAGCGCGGTATCATTTATGAGCATTTGGCAGGGGAGGGCCCGTTTGCTACTATTGAGATGCAGTCTCAACTCCCTCAGGCTGTCTTCCCCATTATTTCCACCTGTGCCCAGCATGCTTTCAAGAAGGTCCCGGATTCAGGCAAGCCTACCAAAAGCTTTGTCAGTATCCGTCAGGGTGCCTCAGAGTCCTTTTTGGATTTTACCAACAGATTGCAGGAGGCTATCCTCCGACAGGTGGATAACACTGAGGCAGCTCACGAGCTCCTGTTAAAATTGGCAGTTGAAAATGCAAACGAGGATTGCCGCCGTGCTCTCCAGGCAGCACAAGCCTCTGGTATTTTAGAGCTCTCAGACATGCTGCGGGCGTGCCAGAACATTGGCACACAAGCCCACAAGGCTGGAGTTCTGGCTGCCATCCTCAGAAAAACTGGGAAGGAGGGAAGCGTTGTTACCGCTGTGGTAAGGAGGGTCATTTTCAGCGGGAGTGCCGCTCATCTAAGGCACCAGCCCGACCCTCAAAGAAGTGCCCCAAGTGTGGGAAAGGTTATCACTGGGCTAATCAGTGTCGTAGCGGGTCGGGAAACCGCGCCACCGAACCCAGGGCCAAACGGGGGTGTTTCCTACTCAGACAATCGCTCCTCTGCCTTGGAATCCGTAGACTCTATGAGGGCGGCGACTGCTGGAAGTGCAGGACTTGATTTGATCATGCAGGAGGACACTGACTTTCGGCTGCCAGGGGAGGTCTGTGCCATACCTACACAGGTGACGGGACCTCTCCCTGCCGGCTTTGTAGGTCTTGTTCTCCCTCGCTCACATGCTGGGAAACAGGGCTTTTTTGTCATTCCAGGGGTCATTGATGCTGATTACACTGGCATTATTAAGGTTCAGGTGTGGACT